AAACAGCTGCAAAATCATATTCAGAAGATGGTAATTTGTACCATATCTCTCATGAAAGTAGGTCCTTCGCCTTTATCATTTTGTTGAATATATATATATATATATATAATTTTTATCAACATATTCAAATTGTTAACGTTAACTAAATGCATTTATATTTATATTGTTTTCAGGTGGTTTACTTGAAGACCCTGGATGCACCCCACCAAAAGATATGTGGAGTATGACTGTTGATCCAGAGGAAGCTCCTAATACACCTGAACATATTGTAAGATGATTTAAGATGATTTAAATATTTTCTTTTATGCGTTTTAAATATGTATATATATAATTTATATTAATCAATATAATTATATACATATTTATAGACTATTTATTTTGAAAAAGGGAACCCTGTTAAAGTTGTTAATCATAATGACAAAACAGAGAAAAGCAATTCGCTAGATTTATTTACATATTTAAACAAATTGGCTGGTTGTCATGGCATTGGTCGTGTCGATATGGTTGAGTCAAGATTTATAGGATTGAAATCTCGTGGATGTTATGAATCACCGGCGGCCACAGTATTGCGTGCTGCACATTTGGATCTTGAGGGAATTACACTTGATGGGCAAGTTCGTCATCTTAAAGAAGTAAATCTTAGTATTCCTTATGGCAGAGTTCTTTATAATGGCCTTTACTTTTCACCTGAACGTGAATTCCTTTCACATTCACTTGAATTCACACAACGTAATGTCAATGGTGAAGTTAAAATCAAACTATATAAAGGTAATGTCATCATTGAAGGCCGCAAAGCCTATGGGGTAGGATCTAAACTTTATGATATGAGAGAAAGCTCAATGGATGAACATGGTGGATTGACACCTACTGATGCTGGTGGTTTCATTAATACACATGCTATTAGACTTAGAAAATGGGTACCAGCTGATAAACAATAATATTTATAGAACTATTTTTCTAAAAATATTACTATATAGCGCAATTATTTATTAATTAATGTAAATATATATTTTATAATCTTTATTCCATTTTTATTTAAAAAATTATTATTTAATAAATTTGATTATTGTTATGACCAACTTCAACAGCCGCAGTGTATTAATGAAATTATTCGCATTTCATTCCCAATACACAACAAGTAGTACATTAATATTTCTATTATGGCCTCTATATAATTGACTCTGGCATGAGCTGAAAGGTAACTCATCGAACCCAGTAATATTATTTACAACTTTCAACATTATTGGATGATTTGGTATTAATGATGATTTCAAGGAATTTTGTAACTTTTAGCATTTTGGAATCATAGAATCGATGAGTAAAGAAATCAGTAAACGTTTGATAAACTTGCCTTGGATTTTTATGTTTTTAATAATTTGTAAATTGTTTTCTCGCGATAACCTCGTAAATGGACGTTTCTTTTTATAAATTCAGAATCAAACAATTAATTGTCGTATTGATTAAAAGAGTATATACGAAATTTGGAAATTCTAAACAATCTTGTTACGCGGTTTTTCACATACAACATCTGCGGGCCGTGATCTTGGTAATGGTGTGGTGGTGTGTTTTGATTTCTAAACGAGAATCTTGCTCCAAGTAATGCTGGTGGCATAACCAACGTCCTGTTTAGAAAAATACTGCATTTTTACATCATAGCCAAGGTTTCTCGGATTAAAAATCTTTTTTTTTTTTTGTATCCAAAGTTATAGAAATGATCACATACTCGATGTCCAAAATTCAACTCAAAATGATGTGCGGCACCAGCTACAGTATTGAAAATGTTGTCCCAACAGTGAAACATGGTGGCGGAGGCATAATGGTATGGGGGCGTTTTTCGGGAAAAGGAAAGAAGATACAGTGAAAGCGGAAGTGAAAGTGATTAAAAAAATCAATTCAATGAATAAAAATATACTTAGAAAAAAAATCTTGTTATAACATACATTCGAGTTAATCTTTCAAAATTATATCATGTAACTTTTATTATATTATTTATTATATTAATATACACTAGTAAATTTGATAATTAATAAATAATATTTAACGCCATCATCCAACAGACGATTATGTCTTTGTAGCTAGTTTATTTTTATTATTTGAAATAACAACATATCATGTATTAAATAAACAATTGCAAGGTGTTGTTGCTAACAAAAAAAAAAATTGTTTAACTAAAAAAAAATCACTAAAAGTCGCCTGAAATAAAATTTTCTACTATATGATTAACAATAACGTAATAAAATGACAGCTAAATAAAGTAGCATCTAAATGATAAAAATAATAACTATTATTTGTTAATTTCTTCTCGAATTGATTATACTGATCTGTGAATGTTTTTTAGCCAGATAATTTTTTATTAGTTGAGCATCTAGGTCTTGACCTAGTATCGTTCTAATTAATATCAATCCAACATTCTCTTAGTTGGTCCACATACTTAAAATAAAAAAAGATAAAGATAAAAAAACAGTTTCTTTTATATTTACTTACGATGGTTTTTATTGGTCATTGACTTTTCCTTTAGGACAATGTTTTCTCTTTTCAGATGAGCAATCGTTCTTTCTCGAGATTTAAATAAGATAGTTTTTATCTCACAAAAAATAAGACATTTATTATGCTTCACTTTATTCGTTTCTATTGAATTTCCTCCATGTGAAGAAATTGTAACCCAGCAATAAATTATTATTAGAAGTCATGGATTAAAATTGCACCGAGTCCCTAAATTATAATATATAACATTGTTAATACAATTTTTTCTTTTAAAAGAAAATTATGATATAATCAATCAATTAATCAAATCAGATAAATTGCCAGTGGCATTTTTAATCTTTAACATGTTTAAGAAGACCGTCGTGAATTGTTATCATCATATATTATATAACAAAAAAAATAAAGCAAAACTTAAATTTATTACTCACTTGAAATTCTTGATGATGATAATAAATTATTCCCTCATTCATTATTATCTGTAAAAAAAATTTTTTGAACTGCAGATCGCAGATCATATAATTTGCCAAACCTTGATTTGTGATACGTGAGACAATTGCAAAAATTTCATAATAGAATTTGGCGCAAATTTTTCGCAGATTACTAATTGCCTAAAAACTACTACTTATACGAATCTTATAAAATAATAAGAATCCCAAAGTTTCAATATACAAAGTTTCAAAGGGACTTTCTTATAAAATATTTTATATTAATATGTAGGGACCGTTGGATTCTTAAAATTGCTATATAAAACTTAAGATTCAAGTATAATATTAAGTGGTATATCGTGTAACAATTAGAGATTTTTGTATATGAAATATATGAAATTTTTTTTAATGCTGTGATTTTTTATTTAAACCCAATCAGAATTAGATAATTTGGAATAAGATCGACAAAAATTTGGCAATGAAATAGTTGTTTTTGTGATCTGCAACAGCGTCTACTATGCTTGATAATACAAGTTTCCCTGATCGAAGTCGAAGGAAATATTTTTAATATTCCCTTAGATCTAGATCTGCCGAGAAGCCGAGAAACCGAGAAACACTTATTGTGTTTTGGTAGGTGGTGAGAATCTGAGAAACATTTATGTTTTGAGGTGCACGGGGCCGGTGCCAAGAAGCCGAAAAAACGCGTGCAATACACGTTTTGTAGGTGGTGAGAATCCGAAAAAGCATATTTCATAGGTTGACAAAGCCTAAGAAGTATGTTTTATAGGTGTATGGCTAAAGGGACTTGATTATCAACCGTACTCTTTTTGACCATTGTTGTGGACAAAGTTTGTTATACTTACTTTTCGTCTGTAAAGGTCAGTATGTGTGAAAATTTATTTTATAGACCATAAGTGCTTTTTTCAGTTTTGGATTTGGGCGAACTTTTATAACTGTCTCCGCAATTACAAAATTCTTAATTGGATTCCTGAACTGAGGATGTTTGAGGTAAGTTTTGCCATTGCATATAGTCGAGGTGAAGATTGTTTAACAGATTCTTATGTCACTATCATCTTGAAACAAATACCCTCTTCCATTAAATTTATTATAAACATGCAATTCTAGTATTTCTATATAGTTACGACTATTCATTTTTTCCATCTACTTTTATTAGTGGACCTAGCCCTTTTCCCGAAAAACGCCCCCATACCATTATGCCTCCGCCACCATGTTTCACTGTTGGGACAACATTTTCAATACTGTAGCTGGTGCCGCACATCATTTTGAGTTGAATTTTGGACATCGAGTATGTGATCATTTCTATAACTTTGGATACAAAAAAAAAAAAAGATTTTTAATCCGAGAAACCTTGGCTATGATGTAAAAATGCAGTATTTTTCTAAACAGGACGTTGGTTATGCCACCAGCATTACTTGGAGCAAGATTCTCGTTTAGAAATCAAAACACACCACCACACCATTACCAAGATCACGGCCCGCAGATGTTGTATGTGAAAAACCGCGTAACAAGATTGTTTAGAATTTCCAAATTTCGTATATACTCTTTTAATCAATACGACAATTAATTGTTTGATTCTGAATTTATAAAAAGAAACGTCCATTTACGAGGTTATCGCGAGAAAACAATTTACAAATTATTAAAAACATAAAAATCCAAGGCAAGTTTATCAAACGTTTACTGATTTCTTTACTCATCGATTCTATGATTCCAAAATGCTAAAAGTTACAAAATTCCTTGAAATCATCATTAATACCAAATCATCCAATAATGTTGAAAGTTGTAAATAATATTACTGGGTTCGATGAGTTACCTTTCAGCTCATGCCAGAGTCAATTATATAGAGGCCATAATAGAAATATTAATGTACTACTTGTTGTGTATTGGGAATGAAATGCGAATAATTTCATTAATACACTGCGGCTGTTGAAGTTGGTCATAACAATAATCAAATTTATTAAATAATAATTTTTTAAATAAAAATGGAATAAAGATTATAAAATATATATTTACATTAATTAATAAATAATTGCGCTATATAGTAATATTTTTAGAAAAATAGTTCTATAAATATTATTGTTTATCAGCTGGTACCCATTTTCTAAGTCTAATAGCATGTGTATTAATGAAACCACCAGCATCAGTAGGTGTCAATCCACCATGTTCGTCCATTGAACTTTCTCTCATATCATAAAGTTTAGATCCTACCCCATAGGCTTTGCGGCCTTCAATGATGACATTACCTTTATATAGTTTGATTTTAACCTCACCGTTGACATTACGTTGTGTGAATTCAAGTGAATGTGAAAGGAATTCACGTTCAGGTGAAAAGTAAAGGCCATTATAAAGAACTCTGCCATAAGGAATACTAAGATTTACTTCTTTAAGATGACGAACTTGCCCATCAAGTGTAATTCCCTCAAGATCCAAATGTGCAGCACGCAATACTGTGGCCGCCGGTGATTCATAACATCCACGAGATTTCAATCCTATAAATCTTGACTCAACCATATCGACACGACCAATGCCATGACAACCAGCCAATTTGTTTAAATATGTAAATAAATCTAGCGAATTGCTTTTCTCTGTTTTGTCATTATGATTAACAACTTTAACAGGGTTCCCTTTTTCAAAATAAATAGTCTATAAATATGTATATAATTATATTGATTAATATAAATTATATATATACATATTTAAAACGCATAAAAGAAAATATTTAAATCATCTTAAATCATCTTACAATATGTTCAGGTGTATTAGGAGCTTCCTCTGGATCAACAGTCATACTCCACATATCTTTTGGTGGGGTGCATCCAGGGTCTTCAAGTAAACCACCTGAAAACAATATAAATATAAATGCATTTAGTTAACGTTAACAATTTGAATATGTTGATAAAAATTATATATATATATATATATATTCAACAAAATGATAAAGGCGAAGGACCTACTTTCATGAGAGATATGGTACAAATTACCATCTTCTGAATATGATTTTGCAGCTGTTTGAACAACAGGTATATTTTTTTTAGCTGCATAAGCAAGAAGTGCTTGACGACCAGGAAATTTTTCATAGAATTCTAAAAACAGAACTTCCTTGTTAGTTGCTGTTGAAATAACTAAATACTTAAATTTCATCTAAAACTTTAATAATTATTATTAACCTGGCATTCTCCATGGAGCAATAACCTTGATATCAGGGTTTAAAGCATAATATCCTAATTCAAAACGAACTTGGTCATTTCCTTTTCCTGTACATCCATGAGAAACATATTGGCAACCTTCTTGAATTGCAAGTTCAATCTAATAGCCAAACAAAAAATTAAATATCATCAATCGTGTTTAATAAAAATAAAATTAAAAAAGTAGATTGTTTACGTGACGACGAGCAATTGGTGGACGAGCAAGTGAAGTGCCCAACAAATAGATATTCTAATAAGCAAAAAATAATTTGAGCATTAATCAATTTGCAATATATATAATGGATTTTTTAAAAATCAAGTTGAATTTTACCTCATATACTGCATTTGCTTGAATGGCAGGGAAAATAAATTCGTCGATAAAAACACTTCTCAAATCCTAAAAACATTCAAATCAATTAATTAATTGTCACATATATATATAGGTCCATAATAATAAATAATACAATTTCATACTTCAATAAAAACTTTGGTTGCGCCGATTTTTAAAGCTTTTTCTCTAGCTGCGTCAAAATCTTCATCTTGACCAACGTTGGCTAAATAAGCGAGAACCTCATAACCTTGTTCAATAAGCCAAACAAGAATACATGAAGTATCCAAACCACCAGAGTATGCAAGAAGTACACGTCCTTTTGTCATTTTTATTATTATTTGTTATTTATTTTATTATTTATTGATTAATTAAATTATTAGCAATTTTATTGTAAAATTATTTTGAAGATTTTATTTATACGATTTTTTTCAAGGCGAGATTATTCAATCTGATAATCATACACAGATTATCATTATTCTTTTTTAGAATGAAAATAATTTGTGTGATCGTGATATTTGCAATCTAATCAATGATAAAACAGATTTTAAGTTAAACGTCACAATGAATGAGCAGAGGCACGTACACGAATTTATTTGTATTTTAATATCAATATTAATAATAATAAAACAAAAACAGGACAAAACGACGGATTGTTTTTCTTCTTAGGAGCAGTAAACGTCAATTAACACTAAATATTAATATTAAATAGCTTGCTTTTTTTTTAAAAAATATATATTGCAAAAAAAAAAATTTACAAATGCAGTGGCGAGTAGAAAAGATTGATTTGTTCCATAACACGATAAATTAATTTTTTTTTACCGTCTTATCAAATTTGCAACCCTTCAGTATTAACCCTTTCCCAATCTTTTATATTCTTCTAATGCTGCTCTAGAGACCTTTAATTGAGCAGAGTCAAAACTGAGAATATTCAAGTTTTTTAACGAAGGAGCTCGGCTCATTGCAATGTATATTTGTCCTTCAGAAAATATGTTCTCAACAACGCGGTTGGGCTTGTTTTATATATGGCACAAACGGCCAGCAATTTGATTCAATTTTTTGGCTTCCACTAATTACATTGTCAGTGGAAGAGATGGTCTTAATGAAGCACATAGATAAAAAAATAGATAATCTGTTTTTTTTTAACGAAAGAATATTATGAATTTGATCAATTAACATTCCTTCATTTTTATTACTCGAATTTAGAATGCATTTCTTAAACTAAAGTTTAATTCTATTTAAGAAGTTTATTTTTATAAATTAATTAAAATGTTGAAACATTTAACGGTGGCTTTAATTATTTAAATATAAGTTTATCTATCATTATATAAATCAAAGGGACGGAAGGGATGTAATTCATAGTCAGCTTAAGCTTTTTTTATTGGTCCGACATCTTTTCTTCCATCCGTTTAAAAAACTTTTTGGCAGCGCTTAACTTAACGTTAACTTTAACTACTATATCAATATATATATATTTATATATTTATACACAACGCAATCATTTTCGTAACACTTTTTTTTTTTCGAAAAATTCCTTTTTTAAACAATTCTATATGAAAAAAATCTCCTTTTTAAAGTTAAATACGTCGCACTAAATTAAATTCATCATATTCTTTCGTTAAATAGATAATAATTTCTATCATTTATCATTAATAAAATGAATAAAGGTTGAAAAAATTTCGGTCCTTGTATAGTATGTGGTAATCAAGATATGTATTATATAAACTCTATATTATATGATTGTTAAGTATATCAATTAAGGTTGCTTGCCGAAACTCCTCCAGAAATCAATCAGCAGGGTTATACATTAATTGTTTATTAGAGTTTCGGCAGAGTTTCGCATTTTGAGGTTTCGCCATTTTGGCATAGTTTCAACAGGATTTTTAATCTAGTTTTGCCGTGGTTTCAGTAATTACTAAGGAGGTTTCGCCCACGACCTTAATATCAATATATTAATATATTGAGAATTTCCTCATGTCTTTGAGCAAATCTATAATAAACAGAGTTGTTAATGGACGAATATATTTGAATTTCCCACATCTATAATAGATAAATATATTGAGAATTTCCTTGTCTTTGAGATGAAAATAAATTTGAACTTTCCCGCATCTATATATAATAAATAGATTTGCAAATTTATAGTTAACGAATGAATATATATGAATGATTGAGAAAATAAATTTGAATTTTCTTAGTTTTTTTTTTTTGATAACAGTCCTTGGACATGTCCGGGTTATTGATTATGAATAACCTGATCACCAGTTAGCATTTTTTTGTTATTATTATTATGAAAAACTATTATCGCAAATTTTAAAAAGAGATCAGCAGTTGATTTTATCAAATTTAGAAAAAGGTATTACAACAATTAGATAATTCTTTTCTTGTGTGATGGAAAATAAATTTGTAAAGATTACACCTGAACCTCTTATTCTTCAAGATATTGTAGATTTAGTAAAAGATGACAGTGCGGGTGCTATTACTACTTTTAGTGGAACAACTCGTAATACTTTTAAAGGTATAACCAAGTAAATAAATATAAATATAATAAATAAATATATAAATAGTAAATTAATCAATTTATTAATTAAAATTTTTTTAAAAGATAAAATAGTTGTCCAATTGGATTATGAAGCATATATTCCAATGGCAGAAAAGATTTTATTGTCAATGATTGATGAAAGTAGATCAAAATGGAATTTAATAAAAGTGGCAATTTATCATCGTGTTAATACTGTACCTGTTGGTGAAACAAGTGTTATAATAGCTGTTTCAAGCGCTCATAGGCATGAGTCAATTCATGCAGTTGAATGGTTGATTGATCAATTGAAAGATAAAGCACCAATTTGGAAAAAAGAAATTTACAATGATGGAAGTGTTTGGAAAGATAATAAAGCAATCTCTTGACATATATAAATATGTATAAATAAAAATAAAAAGATTTTGAAAATGCTTACATATATTATAATATATATAGTCAGTCAATTAATTGGTTAAATAATAAATTTTATTTAATCAACCAAATACTATATATTATATAATACCTGTTTTCTCTAGTTGTGAAAGTGCATTGATTAAAATTCTCTATTTAATGAGAAAGTGAACATTATGCCACAAAGAAATTTCAGGGATCAAAATTGTTAATGATATTTATGGCTTTATAATGTCTCCCATCCATTTTTATTTTTAACAATTCAATAACCTCCACATAATACTATTAGGTTGTTTGCACATGTCCCAACTTTGATTGATACATTAGATACATCATAATCATCCATAAAAAAAAACATTACAAAAATTTTATAACATTACACATTCAAGTCTATAAAATTTTTTTCTTATTATAACCACCAATTTTATCACCTGACTCTTAGAGGTTATACCCCAAAGAAAAAAATTTTGAAAAAAGTAAACTGACAGAATTAAAGCTAAAGACCTAAGCTTTGTTTATATCAGTTTACTTTTAAAAATTTGAGTTATAAACTATTTTCATATTAATATGTAATCCACTTATTATTACTATTACCCAAAAGCAAGGATGATGATTCAAAAAACCACACTTAACTTAAAAAAATAGTATCATAAATGAATCATGAACTAAGATTGCTATCATTTATATGTAAACAAGATTTTAATATTAATATGGAATTTTTTGTTTTATTTCTAAAAATTAATGTTAGTTTTAACCCATCAATACTCATAGCCTCTAACCTTTTATATTCTTATAAAACCGCCCTATATAGAATTTTTTAATCGAGAATTAAAAAAATATGAATTATTAATAATTCGAATCGTTACGTTTTTTCACATTTTCAAAAAAAGGCATGATTGTTTAAATATTAACAATAAGAAATTAGAAAAAGTCTTCGAAAAAAGCTTGATTGATTCCTTTGGCAATGATGAATTATTCTAAATTGCTGCGTTATTTAGTAGCGGGGAAAGTGATTTCTTCACATTTTCAAAAAAGACATGTTGTTTAACAACAAGGAAATTAATTCCAACTTATTGTGCGTCTTCTTTGATTCCTTTGGCAATAATGAATTAATTCTGAATTGTTTAGTGGTGGGAAAATGTTTTTTCATTTAAAAAATTTTGGCATGATGATCAGGATAATACAACGCGATCAATTTTGTGAAACATTTTTTAATTGAATTTGTTAATTAATTCGTTAACTAATAACGTTAATAAATCATTTGTTTGTATTCAAAAAACATCTGAAAGTTAAACATGTCTGCATAGGTTGTATAGATTTTTTTGGTGAGAAAAATACAAATAATTATTTTTGTCTTCAAGTAAAAACTTGCGAAATAATTTTCTTTAGGGTAGTAAAAAGAAAATCCTGGTGATTTTAATGTGAATTATTCTGTAATTATTGTGACCCTTCTTCTATAGAATGGAGTCGTAAATCAACAGTGGATGTTCATTGTGGTGGAAAATAACTATCTAGCTCAAAAAAGAGTTCATGAAAATAATCAATGAAAAGGCAATCAGCAAAAACACTTCTGCAGAATCTAAAAAAGAAGTAATAAAAAATTCAATTCAATTTGTAAGTGAAGAGTTTGCCTCCTTTTTTAAAAAAAATCTTAAAGAAGGATGAACAATTCCTCGAACATTCCACATTACATCAATTGTATCTACCCTACAGTCTTTCAAAAACATTTGGAATCCTTGATTGAAATTTTTAATACTAAGCGAGTCTGTATCATAATAGATAATCTTGTATATGCAGTGTTTTTAATACAATTTTGTTTATCATCAAATACAAAATTAATCTCTATTTGACTTTTTTTGATTGTGTCAACAACACAATTATTGGACAAACACTTTTTCCTTTACTGCATTCATATAATACTAACATAAATAAATATCTATGGTACAGATCATCTATAATCAATTAATTGCTTATAGTAACGATTGGTCAGCCAACACTTCCAAAATAATTGGCCATCTTTAATATTAAGGGTGGGGTAAATCGGTCACTATCAAAATTAAATAACATAATATTATTAATATTAATGTTAACCGTTTAAGTTCTTGTTAAACGGTTAACAGTGCCAACCTCTAGTTTCTACCCTGGAAATATAACCATTTGCCCTGAAAAGAAAAATATTAATATTAATAGAATTAATTATCTTGCTTTAGGTGCATGATGTCGCGTCGTTTTATAATAATAATTTGTCGATCTTTTTAGTTAGTTATGAATTAATTTGATCGACATAAGCAAATAGACATAAATGGGATTTTTAGCTATGCTCATAAAATGAACAGTTGCAGAAGAAAGCGAAGCGAAGAAAAAAATATTGTCAACGTAATTAAACATAGGAAAATCGATGTGTAGGTATTATATTCGATGGGTTATTTTAATATTTGACAACTTGATTAAAGTGTATTTGTATTTATTTCTCAGAAACCAAGAATCATCATCACCAACTAAATCTACAATCACCAAAATTGTTGCTATAAATAAAAATGAAGACGAATTAATGATGTTAAATGCAAGATTGATACAATGGTGTTATTTGAATGTAAATAATGAATTTGCATTTGAAAATCAAAAATTATCTGTTGAATCACAATTGTTGCAAGCCTGGAAGGTTCTATATGAAAAGAGAGTTGGGTTAATAAATAGTTTGAGAAAGTTTGAATTGGAAAAAGATCTTATTAATATAAATGAAACTTTAGAATTTCAGGTTTAAAATATATATTAAATCTTTTTATATAATAAATCATATAATTATTTCAATTGTTAATATGCATTTTTTGTTAATTGATAGAAAAATATATTGACAAGTATTATTCAATATTTGGAAAATTTTAAACCAAATTATGTCGAGTTTGTGTCATCATTGTCTAAAACCATAACAGCGATGCCAATAATTAATATATTAACAGTAGATTTGGGTAAAATATTTTTTAACTTTATTTACTTTGGAAATTAAATTGATGAAAGAATGGCAGAGAGAGAAGATAATAATATTATTTTCACAATATTTACATGTGATAATTTAGCTGAATTGACAAAAGAAATAGATGATTGTCTAAATGTAGCATCTGAATTATTATCACCACAAACTTCAAATATGTCAGAATCATCATTATTGGTAATTAATATTTATACATTGATGTTTATATATATCTTGAGAATTTCAATACTTATGGGTTTTTTTTCTTTTAGGTACAAAATATTGCTGACACTATTCAAAATCTATGTAATGATATCAAAAAAGAGTTTCAAGAATTGACAGAATGTAACAATTTATTACGGGATCTTTATGATGCAGAAATTAATGAGAGCAGTTTGAGAATACGGAAATTGAATTTACTTGAAACTGCAAATTCTTAAATAAATATTTTAAATACTAGATATTTTATTTTTTAATCTTCCTTAATATTATTATTATTAAGTTTATCATGGCTAATATTATAACATAATTGCTCTAAACTTTCAATTAACATAACCATTAAAATACAAAAAAAATTAATCAAATGGCATAAAAATGAAATAAATAATTCAAATCCAATCCATGAATGTTTTTGTAATTTGCCAATAAAACTCAATTTGGCTCTTTTACCTCTAATATAGGTTGCATCAATAATTTCAAATGGGCACTCAACACCAAAATGTTCTTTAGCAATTTTTAATCCTGATGTGAACCCATCTTCATGAAATCCATAATTAGTCCATGCTCCTGCAAAAGTTGTATGTAGGTTTGGTTGATTTTGTATTTTGTAAAGTTTTTGTTGGGATTTGATTGTTTCAGGTGAATATTGTGGGTGTTCATAATGCCATTCACCGTGAACTTTGCTAGGATCTATTTCATCCAATGGATTCAATGTCACCAATACAGGCCCATAAATTTTCTCATCAATAGACTGTAAAATATTCATTGAATAAGTTCTAATAATAATGAAGAAGAAAATAATTAAAATATCAATGTCAATTGATCGACCATCACTATAAATCTAGAATTTACATATTTTACATACAATGACACTTCATTAATATTAGAATTTCCTGTGGATTTGGTAAGATAATTCCAAGAAGAAAATGCCAATCTTCTTTTTGGCATAAACTAAAAATAAATAATTATTGTTATTGACTATCGAGTTAGTTAGTTTACGATGATAATGTTGTTGTTGTTACCTCTAAATCACAATGTAAAACAGCTTTATTTTTATTAAATTTTACACCGCCCAAAACATCAACTTCGTCATCAGTTGCCTCATCGCCTAGTATTTTTAAAGTTTGATCTGCATGTGTTGCAAATATTACATGATCATATTCTTCACAATTAGATTTCTCATCTATTATTTTAATTGACGTTGCTGATCGTTTAACTTGAATCACCTTTGTTGATAAACGTATATCAGGGATTTTTTCTGCTATCACTTCAACATACTTGTGACTATAAAAAAAATCAGTTGATTAATGTAGATAGATTTATAAATTAATTTATTTACGAACGTTAATTTACCTTCCATTTTTCACAGTAAACCATTTTATTCTATGAAGAATCTGAAGCAAACAATGATTATGCATAAATTGAATTAACGTTAATGCTGGAAAATCTAATGAACATTTATCAGGCGGGGTAGACCAGATTGCTGCTGTCATTGGTAAAAGATAATTGTCTCTGAAAGCCTTGGAATATTTATTAATATCCAAATATTCACCTATACTCATTTTTTTGTCCGGATGATCATCTGGTAACTCTAACAAATCTGTTGAATGAAAATTAAATCTAACAATATCATAAATAGTTTGCCACATTTCTAGGCTCAACAAATTTTTTGCTTGACAAAATACACTGATTGGAGTACGTCCTGACCATTCAAATTCACCTTGATTTCTGGAAATTGCAAAACTCATTTTTGAGTCAATAAATTCCACTTTTTTCAATTCAAAGAATTTTAGTAAATTAGGATATGTCACATGATTAAATACAATGAAACCAGTGTCCACTGGTGTAATTATCGGCTCTTTGCAGTTCTTGGTTGATGGAACTATATAGTCAACGGTGTGTGTATGTCCTCCTAAATAATCATTCTCTTCGTATAATGTCACCTTATAGTCTGTTGAATATTCTGTTAATAACCAAGCTGCTCCAAGTCCTGATACACCTGAACCTATGATAGCAACTTTTTTTGCCATTTTTTTATAAACTCTTTTAATATATTATATATATACCAAGAAAATTTTTTAATTTAAAAAAAAAAAAAATATTGTTCATATAAATCGATCTACAATTTTTTTTTAGCAAATTTGTTTAAAAGAGTTAGAAAGGTTGTTACTATCCATACAAATTCGATTAATAGAACATATTAGATGTAAAAGGAATCTGTTAAAGTTTGAAAATAAACATGATTTTAAGCCATGAAAAAAAAACAGCATTTCTTCAAATTCTAATGATAATGATAATAATAATAATTGTGCAATTAATCAATCATTGATCACGAGATATATTGGAAACAAATTATTATTAAACTTATATACTCCATCTAAGAACAACCTCCATTTTTAGAAAAGAATTATCATGTTCCCGACAGAGTTATATATGTACGACTATATATATATATATAATGTTTTTATAATGTAAAACCAATATAATTTTTGTTTATATAAATAAACACAAAAAATTATCAATTTTAAGTCCATATTTTGGTAAAGTTTCTGTTGATTCTATACATAAAAAATGAATTTATGTCTTGATACAAGTTCTAACGCATGATAAATGGAAAATATATATTAATCGTTGCAGATTCTGTTTAAATATATATAATAAATGATATTGACATTTGAAGGATAGATTACTAAAATTTAGAGTATAATAAATAGAATATGATGATGAAATAGTGCATGTACGCAGGTAATGAGAAATAATGAATGGTTGATGTAATGCAATGTTCGATAAATGTTTAATTCTTTCGTTGTAGAAAGTTATATAATAAACATATGATACCATTCAACTTGATCGTGTGAGATTTCTAACTGTTTTTGGTTCAACATTATTGTAGATCATAGTCCCTTAAAACCCCATTTTAATTTTATAATAAAGGTGATCTTCAACGAACCGACAATATTGCTTTAAATAGAGGGATCATCTTAAAAAATTAAAAATTTTCAAGTTTTTTTTGAGTTGAGCTTTAACCATTAAAAGATGTAATCTCTATGATTGTCCGGGGCCCCGTCATAATAATTTCATTTTGTCTAGTCTTCCCAAATAAATTATTTTGTTCAACACTAAAAAACAAATGAGGTAAGGTCCAGTTTTGGTCAAAGATTTTCAGCCCTCTTTTTCAATATTGATAAATCGGCTAAATCGCTAACCCTACATTTCTTTTATCTAAAACTCATTATCATATATATTCTAAAGATGGAAATTTTTTTTATTTCACGTAAACACAATATATCTATTGTGGTTACATATATTTGTAAAATATATATTTTGTAAAATATATTTGTAAATAAATAGCATATATGTATCGAAAAGAATTTATTTATTTATTTATTAACATAGATTAGCAATGGGTAATACTTTAAGCTGTTGTAGTGGGAAAGGAGTCAATAACGATGACCATGAACATAAAGAATTGAAAAGTAATGATTCCCTTAATAATATAATTAACTCGGATAAACCATTACAAAACCAAAGTCCATTAACAACTCCAGCAATGGTAGTGAATCCAACGACAACTCCAGTGACAACAACAACAACAACAAACGATGTGAATTTATCTATAACAAAAGAAGATATTTATAGTGATGAAAGAAGACAAGAATATGGTACTTGTGCAATTTGTAATAGATATAATACATCAAAAGGGCAGTGTAAATCATGCAACCAAAACGATACTCAAGATGTTGTCAAAGAAGAAGTTGATAAACCACCAGGTGGAAATAAATTGCTTTATAAGGATTCCTTTGTTTTTAATATTATTATTTATGTTATTATTTTATCGGATTTAATTAGAGGATCTTGACAATCAATTCGGAATGGAATTGCCTAACGAAATTAAAGGTGAGAATTACGAAGGAATATATATAATAATTTTCAATAAAATATTTAACACACATTTTATTTATTTTTTATAATTAAGAGGATCTTGATAATCAATTTGGAATAGAGTTACCTAATGAAATTAAAAGTGCCGAGGGCAATGAAGGTGATGATAAGCTACTAGGTTGGTGCAAGATTATTTATGTAAAATTAATTTGTTAATAATTTTAATAAAATTTTTTTTGAAAAAGATAAAGTTAAGGATAATGATGGTAATGACGAACCACCAGGTAAACAAGTCAATGAGTTATAATTAAAATAGCAAATTTAATATAAACTTATTAAATCACGAAGGAATATATATAATAATTTTCAATAAAATATTTAACATTCATTTTTATTTTTTTTTTATAATTAAGAGGATCTTGACAATCAATTTGGAATAGAATTACCTAATGAAATTAAAAATGACGAGGGTAATGAAGACGATATTAAGTTATCTGGTTGATACAAGATTATTTATGTAAAATTAAATTTGATAATAATTTTAATAAAATTTTTTTGGAAAAAAAAAATAGAGGCTGATAAAGTTAAGGATAATGATGTTGATGAGGAACCACCAGGTAAATGAGTTAATTAATTATAATTAAAATAGTAAATTTAATACAAACAATTATATATATGTGCACTTTTTTTATTTTAGAGGATATTGATAATCAATTTTCAATTAAGTTGCCTGATAATATTGATGACAATGAGCCTCCAGGTAAAATATATTATTTATTTATTAAAAAAAAAAAAGGATTGATTTTTATTTTATTTAAAAAAAATTTTTTTTTTTATTAATTTTTTTTTTAATTTTTTTTTTTTTTATTTTTTTATTATTTAAAAAATTTATTGGTTTTTTTTTATAAAAAAGGGAAAAGGGTTGGGGAGTGGGAGTGGGAAAGTGGGAAAGTGGGAGTGTGAAAGTGGGAAGGGAAAGTGGGAAGGGAAAATGATATAATAAGGGGAGGAAAGGAAGAAAAAATGAAATGAAAAAATGAAGAAAAAAAATTGATGATATTAAATAATATATATAAAAGGGGTGGGTGGTAATAATAATAAGATGAATAATGAGATTAAAGCGATAAAGGTTATTTTCAATATTTGACGATTTATATAGAAATGTAAATTATGACATAAAAATAATAAAATTACAAGCACTATTGATGGTGATTCAACTAGTTGCCAAAATAAGTTAACGGTCAAATACCAAATTATGCATAGTCATATATAATAAACCTCTATTCAAATTGTTTATATATTTTAAAACTATTTTAATTTAATTTATCCTTCCCATTTCCACTATATTATTCCTCTGTTGCTTAATTAATAGCTTGAGAATTGTCTAATGAATTTATTAATTGGTTGGGATGTGGGATTTTTATTTTCAGTTGTTGATCGTTTTGGAATTTTCCTTTTTATTTGTTAACGGCAACCTTCTGATGGCTCTCTCACGCTGCATTTGTTGAAAGTCTAGAAATGACAATTGGGTACAATTATGATAAAGAAACCCTAAAATATTTGAGAGGCTGAAATACCAGAATTTAGCATCAATCAACCCTTTTTTAGAATAACTAATGCTGTAATGCCATCACACATTATCAACTTATGATGCGGGAGTGCCTTGAATAAATGATCCAGCCGTAAAATAGATTTTTTAGTTGTATGCACCGTTTGTAGACTGAATGGGTAGTAGTCAGCATAATGGACATTCAAAATGTTACACTAATTTTTTATGTTGTGTACCGTAATTTTACAATACACTGTGAATGTTGTCTCAATAAAAAATTGCCGATAAAATGGATTTCAATTTGTTCGCAATTTTTGTTCACGAACCTAGAGAGGCGACAACTATATACTGGTGAAGTTTCAAGAACAACGGGCTCTGTGTAACATATTGTGTAACGACGAATGTCCACTATGCTGTAGTAGTCATTGAGGTAAAAGTGATAAAGCATAAAACAAATCATAAAGATACAGTCGTCAAGTTTATGGAAAATTCGAGACAGCAATGTTGGAAGAAACTTGTTTTTTGATTGTGGAATCATCAAGACAATTTGTTATACCACTCCATCATTTCTACATTACCGAGCTGGACTTGTAATCTCCCGCTCTCTTAGGATTTACAGCATTTTCACTCACAAGACCACATCCCTATTTGTTCACAACGAATGAGTAGTTATTATACCGAAGGAGGGCACAACAAATATTCCTTCATCTACATTGGATATGGCAAAAAAGTCACAATGAGACTGTGGAGTATATTATTAAACATGGTGGGAATTCAGATCTTCTTCGTCGTGAACAAGCACCAATATATTATTGAGTTACGTGGTTGTGGTAATTGGACATCTCCTTATGCAATTTTGTTGTATTATAATCAGAAACAAAACCAGTTAGTGAAGTAGATTCAGCAAGAATATTTCATATAGATTGCTTCGATAATAGCTCAATTGTTGTAATGTGAGAACTTCGACCTTGAATTAGTTGTTCAGATTTTATCTGGTTAATTCAATTATTTTGCTTTGGCTTTACTTAACCTGGCCATCGTTTGGGTCTTAAATCTTGAATAATTTCTTCTTGCCTTCCAATTCTTTAAATTTGTTTTCACTTTGAGAAATATTTTATTTATTCTCATTAAAATGTTCTAATTAATATTATTGCTGTTTCGGTTTACCAGTATCATACTCGAGTTGCTGTTTGCTTGATCCTCTCTAGCAAATTCTTCTTGTTGTCTTTTTCTTTTTTTGAAAAGTTTTAAACACTCCCTTAGATAAAAAAAATATTGAACACCCTAAAACAATTAATTGCAAAAATGTGCCATTTAAAAATACAAATGTGTCAAAAAATATGCATGCGAATTTCAAGTTTATATCATGTTTATGAAAAAAAAACAAATTTGTCCAAAAATATTACAACATTCACGCCACAAAAACGTACATAATAAAACACACCTGTCAAATGATAAATATATTTATCAGTTGATATTTTTGTTGACCATCCACTATTTGAATAACAGTTTCTATTTCTCCTTAAACTTTTCAACGCCATCTCTTTCTGGATGTTCTAACTATATTTGTTCTGGCAAGGCTAAATGTATTAGAAAGATGGTATGTAATAGAGTGTTTATTTATTT